TTGGCCTGGAAATGGTAAACACTAAACAAAGCAGATGAGGTCACCTTGGAAGTAAGGAGGGTTCCGGAAGAGGAAATGACGGCCACCTGGTGTGCTGCCATGACAGATGAGAAGGTAGGGTGGTCACTGGGGTTGAGATGTGTGTTCAGAGAAGACATTGTGTTAGTCCCTGGTCCCGTTGTGTTGATGGCGGTTGGAGTAGAAATGCCAGTGGCTTTGATGGGCCCCAAGATGAGGGCAGAGGTGATGGAAGGCCCAAGACCCTGGGGGAGCTTTATGTGTATTTTGCCTGCATGCGTGTAAGTGCAGCATGTCATGCAATGCCCAGTAGAAATGCCAGTGGCTTTGATGGGCCCCAAGATGAGGGCAGAAGTGATGGAAGGCCCAAGACCCTGGGGGAGTTTTATGTGTATTTTGCCTGCATGCGTGTAAGTGCAGCATGTCATGCAATGCCCGTGGAAGCCATAAGAGGGCGTTGGAGCCCCTGGAACCAGAGTCACAGACAGTTGTTAGCTGCCATGTGGGTGCTGGGAACCGAACCCAGGTCCTCTGCAAGAGCAGCCCGTGCTCTTAACCGCTGAGCATCTCTCCAGGCCTGCAGGCAGAGTTTTCGGTGCTTCTGGAAGTAGTGGTTGAGACGGACACCGTAGACACTGCCAGGACTGTGGTGACCTCAGAGGCTGTGGAGGCTGCAGAAGACCAGGGAGAAAGGAACCCAGATCCACTGGACAGCTCTGCTCAGCAGAAGAAATCCAGGATCCACCAGACAGCTAAAGAGGAGGAAGGGGCCAGAGACCTAGCACTGGAGCCTGGACTGCACACCAGCTTACCCTGGGGGCTCCAGCAGTGACCTCCCAGGAGACCCCAGGACACAGGCATGTAAAGAGGGAGTGTATTCCCTCCAGACCTGCTCATTAAGTAATTATCCCTCATGTGGGTTCGGCCTGGAGCTCATTAAGGGATTTCCATGTGGGTTTCCGGGTAGGAAGAAGACAAAAGGTCTCAGGGGATCCACACTGGATTGGATGATTAGACTCTGGGGGAAAGAGGTTTCCAATTTGTTTTTGTTTTTGCTTTTGCTTTAATTACAGTCTGGACTGGAGGAATTCAAGGTCAGGGGCTGGGCTAAGGGGTCTGGCATTCCTCCCAGGGCCACTCGGTTCTGGGAGCTATGCTGAGCCACAACTGCCCTGACAACCTTAAACCAAGCATCCTTTTCTCCCAGGCTCCACAGCCCTCTCCCAGAACCCCAGGAGTCCCTGTCTGCCGCAAGCTTTCATCAGAGACCCAAGTCTGGGGTCCTTCTGACACCTGGGATACCTTCTTTCGGAAACCCAACTTCCATCCTGCCCCCAGCAGAGCCTGTGTATGGTGGAACATCTGGAGGGAACTCCAGCCTGAGACAGCCCAGAAAATTCAAACCCTGCTGGGATTCCCGAAAATGGGAAGTGAAAAGTAGCCAGAAGTGATCAATGGCCCCACTGCCTGGTTCTGGTTGGACTCCAGTTGGAAGGTGTGTAGCACAGGAGTGCACATCTAGGCTGTGCAGGTGATGGGTAATATTCTGTGTGACTGATACAGGACTTTGGCACAGGACTGGTGTCCTAACAAAACGGGCTGCTCATAAATACAGGTCTAAATTATTTGAGGTGCTACTCTATTCCACATTGTAATTCCTGCTGAATTATTTCATTTTAATGATCCTGTATTTGTGTCTGGGGGTCGGGGGAAACTGTGTCTTATACTTCTTTTTATCTTCAACAGACTATATAATAGGTGCTTAACAATACTTGTTTATGGGGCTGGGGAGATGGCTGAGTAGTTGAGGACACATACAGCTCTTGCAGAGGAACCAAGTTTGCACCCACATCTGGCAGCTTAGGACCACTTGTAACTCCAGCTTTGGGGGATGGGGATCTGAAGCTCTCTTCTGGCCTCCATGGGCAGTGCTCCCACGTGCATAGTGACACTCAAACACATGTACACATAATAAAAAATAGAATAAAAAACCCCACTTCCTTATTAATAGCAACATATTCCCTTTCCCCTTATTCTGTCACTATGAAAATAAATCCAGCTTAGCTGAGCTTTTATCTAAACCCAGAAAAGCCACTTTGGAAAAACAGAAATTCTGTTTCTCTTTTCTGGCCTCTGAAGACCTATCCTGCCCTCCAGCCCCTCCTGTCCCACCCTCCAGCCCCTCCTGTCCCACCCTCCAACCCTTCCTATACAAGGTCATCCATTAGGCAAGGCTGTCAGCCAGGGACGCCAACCAGTGTTCCCTTCCTAGAGTCCACTGAGTCATACTTTATAAATGTATTACACTTTATTACAAACGACTGACAGAAGGAAACTGTCATCGATGCACTGTTTCCCCCAACCCAAATCAGGTAAAAGAGTTGTGATAAGTTGCAAAGAAAATCCACAAAGCACACCCACATTATCGAAATGGAGGGAAATCGGAACATGGCAGTGGGCACCGCAGGGGTTGGGGAAAAGCCAGCTGGGTGGCGCCTGCAAGCACCAGCTTTTGATGGAAGAGACAGGAACACAGATGCTAAGTGGGGAACTAGCAGGAAGGGTGGGGACAGGCTGGGTGGGCAAACAAAAGCCCCTGTGTGTGTACCCACCTACCACAGACATCAGGAAAAACCTGAGCACTCAGGAGGAAGAGGGAGGAGCCATCAGTGGGGGATGTTTGTGACATTTGGGGGGTTTTCCTTTCTCCAGACAATGAAGAGGATGGAAAATACTTCAATCGTCTTTTATCCTTAGGTCCTTTTTTTTTAATTAAAAAAAGATCAAGTACCCTCGGAGTTCAGAAGTGAGATGCACGATGCAAACCCTTAAGTGACGGTGGGTGGAACAATATGACTCAGTCTTAAAACCTGGGCACTCTGCCTCCTTCCTCCGGGCCTGCAGGACCCCAGGCTCACAATCCACTCTGCGACGTTGCCTTCGGAGGCTCCTGCAGCTCCCGCTCAGCCCCACTCCTCTCCGGACTCAGTGACCTGTGCGGTCCCGCCGTGTCCTTCACACACCTTACTCACATCTCTTTCTACAGAGAACACTTGCCTCATCCATTCTTTCTTCTCTTTCCTCAAAACATGCATCGTTTGTCCTTACCGCCTCATGCCCCACGGGTCAGTTAAGAACACACACCTCTGACGGAGGGTTACGGCTGCTGTCTGTCGGTTTTCACTGGCCTGAGTCTGGGAATCAGAATTTTAAGTCTAGTTCGGCTCCCAGGAAGGGGGAAGAGCCTGGAAGAGCAGCGGGCGGAGGTCGAAGATCATCGAGGATAAGGCGTCTGGTTCAGGTTCTTATTCTGCTGCTCCATCAGGTAGACGGGGTAGGAATTGCGGCCCCCGCGGTCCTCTGGGTCGTTGTCCTCTGGGTCGTTGTCGTTGTGGGCGATTGCACGCCGAGATCGAGATGCACAGGACACCTGAGATGGGCAGAGCAAGGAGTGAGACGTCTCCCAGGGCTGCTGGCTTTCCTCGTCCTCTGATCCTGAACTTTGCCCTGTGGTGCCCCCTCCCACCGTCCACCCCACCCTCTGTGTCCTCATACCTTCCACCTAAGACAATCAGCACCTCTGTTCCTGAACTTTGCCCTGTGGTGCCCCCACCCCCGACCGTCCACCCCACCCTCTGTGTCCTCATACCTTCCACCTAAGACAATCAGCGACTGCCAAATTTTCTTTCACACCCTTCTGTGTCAGCCACAACCCTCTCCCTGCTCCAGCTGTTCACTTCTTACCCGTTGTTTTTCTTCTCCGCCTCCATGATGGCTCTTCTCCTAAGCTTGTTACTCCCTCTAACTGACCCCAACCTCTCCTCAACTCTCTCTCACTCTCGCTCTCGCTCTCTCTCGTTCATTGCCCTTACCAAAAATATCAGGCCAATGAAGATCAGCAGCAGGATCACAGCCACCAGGACCACAATAACTATGGCCCATGCAGGGAAGGAATTGCTCTCCCCTATCACCCCCGAAGCAAGGAGGCCTCCATGTGGGCTGTGGGTGTTCTGCTGGGTGTGGCTCGTGTCACCTGGGGCTCCTGATGTGTTGGACCTCAGATCCATTCTAGATGTCAAAGAGCCAGTGGGCCCTCTGCGTGTAGTCTTGGTTTTGTTTAAATGACAGGTTGTCCGCTTGCCTCCCGTGACCTTGACTGGAGGGCTCATGGTCTTCAAGTCTGCTCCTGTTTTCTCTGGCTTTTCTGTGGATTTTGTGGTTTTGGTGCCTAGTGTGGTTTTCCTCTGGAATACTGTGGGAGTTTGTGAGACTCTGGTGGCATTCTCCGTGTGTGCTGTGGTCTCTTCTGGGTGCTCTGTAGACTTTTCTGAGACCTGTGTCATCTTTTCGTTGGCCAATGTGGTCTCTCCCTCCGACTCTGTAGACATCGGGTGGGCTCTTGTGGTCCCCTCATGGGTAGATACAGTCCCTTCATACTCGCCGGCTGATGGGGTCTCTTTGACTTGTTTTGTAGTTTGATGGAGGGGCTCCTCTGAGGAAAATGGAGTCCTGTAATCTTCAGTTCCTTTTGATGTTGCTGGGGTCCTCGAAGGTTGATAGGTTGTCCTTGGGGCGTCTGTGGGTTTCACTGAGGAAGAGGTGTTTTTTCTGTTGATCTCTGAGTCATGGGAAGGAACTGTGGCCTTAGGTGAGGAGGTCCCTAACATGGTTACGGTACTCTCCATAGGTCTGTCAGCTGTAGCTGAATTCCGGGTTACTCTGGTTTTTCCTGTTGTGGACTTACAAGTTGTTTTGCCCCTGGGTGCTGAAGTGGGATGGCTTCTATCAGTGGCGTTAGCATCATCGGCTGCACGTCCATTCCGGATCATTGGGTCATTTCTTTGACTGCTGGTGTTCCATTCAGTAGCGGGAGTCATTTCATTATGAACAGTGGCTTTGGAATTGTCTACACTGTGTACTGGTTTGGCACGGTGTGTGGTGTTGCAGTGTCTTTTGGGTTTTGGGGTTGCCACAGACTTAGGGAGGTCTGGAAGTTGTTGTCCTGAGTTCAGATCAGCATGGCCAGAGGGAGTCCTATGAATAAGGCCCGGAGCGAGGGATGGTAAATGAGCCGATGTGGAAGATTCACTGGTCTTCTGAAGTTCATGAACTGTGGTAACGCCTGTGGAGGGAGAGGGACAAATAGAAGCCTCTCTAACTTCTCCCGTCCCTTGCTGGGCGTCCCTCAGAGCCCGGATACGCCCACCCAAGTAGTCTCATTAGAGTACTGTGACATCTGATCCCGTTCCCACCTCCAGCCCCCAACCTTTGCTCGGGCTGTGCCTTCAGCCAAAATGCAGTCTCTCTCCTTCCCTGCATCTATTCGACTGTCTTCTCAGAGCCTCTGGCCCCTTTCCTGGTTCCTCCAAGCGGATCCCCAGCACCATCCCTGTTCCCTGTCTCTTACTTCTGTGCCTGCCACTGTCTACTTCCTACCACACATATCCAATTATTAGGGTTTTTTAAAATTTATTTTATGTGTATGAGTGTATTGCCTGCGTGTATGTAAGGGCACCCAATGCCAGCAGAGGTCAGAAGAGGGTGTCGGACCCCTGGAGTTATGGATTGCTGCTAGCCGCTGTGTGGGTGCTGGGAATCGAACCCAGGTCCTCTGCAAGAGCAGCCAATGCTCTTAATTGTTGAGCCATCTCTCCAGCCCCCCTCCCCCATTATAAGGTTTGGAGAGCTGGGATTGACTGTCATTTTGTGTGGTGGGTGTTCCCTTAGGGTTTATAGACTTGAAGATTACAACCACCTTTGCATGGAAGAGCCAAGGGGAAAAGGAAACATCAGAATCTCCGTGTTCCTATACCGTGCCGGCTCCGTCCCAAACGCCGTGTGTGAGAAACAAGGAGACGGTTAGGGGAAGAAAACAGGAAGCTTCCGTTTTGGTGGTGAAGTTTGGTCCAGATAGAGGGCGAGGGATGCAATGATTCAGCCCTTGTGGTCCTTCCCCCATGGCCCCCCTTTCCAGCACACGTCTGGGGCTAGAGAAGGGTGGTGCTTTACGGCTCTGATGGTAGTGAGAAGGCAGCTGGATTCTGGGAGGGACTATGTTCGGGGACAGAGTGTGAAGGAGAACACCCCTAATCAGCGGGCAGACAGAAAAACAACTGGACAGGGACAGGACCTGTCTCCAGTTCTGACCAGCAGGAGAGCCAGGAGGTCACCAGGGAGCAAACAGGAGACGTAACTGAGATTACTTAAGACTGTTAGCTCAAGGTGGCAACCAGAACCTGGACCTGTTCCCAGTCACAGGGAACCATGAGCCACCCACCTCTGTACTGACGAGGCGGGGGGCTGGTAACCCAGTCCTTGAAAGAAATACGGGAGGAGTATGTCTGCAGATGTCACTGTTTAGATCCAGGCTGTCCCCCAAAGCCCAGGAGTTAAAGGCTTAGCCCCCAGCTTGGTAGTTTTGGGGGAAGGGGTGGAACTTTTTAAAATTTATTATTTTTATTTTATGTGTATGAGTGTATTGCCTGCATGTGTGTAAGTGTGCCCATGTTGTGCAGTGCCTGCGGAGGTTAGGAGAAGGTGTCAGATTCCCTGGAACTGGAGTTACAGACGATTGTTAGCCGTCACGTGGGTTCTGGGAATCGAACCCTGGTCCTCTGCAAAAGCAGTCAGTGCTCTTAACTGCTGAGCCATTTCCGCAGTCCTGAGGTGGTGGAACTTATAGGAGCTGGGGCCCAGTGAGAGGAAATCAGGTTACTAGAGGATATTCGGGTTACTATGCCCTTGAAGAGGCTATTTGGACCCCAGCCCCTTTCTCTCATCCCTGGTCATGTGCTGAGTTGCTTTACTCTGCTATCCATTCCCATCAGGATGGGCTGCGACAGGCTCAGAACAACAGGGCCACTTAGCCATGGGCTCAGTCATCCAAAACTATGACCCCAAATAAAACCCTTGTCTTCACTCGTCAGTTGTCTCTGGTATTATGTTACAGTTCTGGAAAGCTCACTACACTGTAGGCCAGGCACCTGGTTGGTTGTTTCACAGACATTCTCTTTCTGGAATGATCTCTTAGCCCCTACCAGCTCCTTCAAAGTCGTCAACCTCCCCTATTTTTCCATCTGTGAAACTGGACTCTCCAGATAGAAAGTGGCTTCCCACAACAGTAGCAACCAGTCAACTTTTCTTAAGCTCTTCCTATAAGACAGACATGTCTCCTTTATCTCCCACAGGAACCCCTTGGGGTTGGGAACTCTTTACTGGCCTCCCAACTTTATACACGAAGAAACAAGGTTCAGAGTGGTTAAGTGATCGCCTCACAGACACCCAGCAAGTAAAGAGTGAAGTCAGAATTTTTTTAAAGACAGCTCTGGTTACCCAGCAAGTAAAGGGTGAAGTCAGAATTTTTTTAAAGACAGCTCTGGTTAACCTAGAACTTGCTTGTATACCAGGCTGCCCTCAAACTCACAAAGATCTACCTGCCTCTGCCTCCCAAGAGCTGGGATTAAAGATGTGCACCACCACACCCAGCTGGAGCCAGAATCTGAACACACCCTAGGCTGCCAGCCCCAGACTCGTACTGGTTAAGATTACAGCACAGTGTGTGGGTCAGTGCAGTCTCTCGGGGAGGGAGGCACACTGATGCCTGTGGAACTCTGAAGAATGTTTCTGATGTGTGTTTATTTAATCATCTCCACAAACTCACAATGTGCGCATTAAGGCCTTCCGTTTTTACAGATGAAGAAAAGGAGATTAAAAGAGGTTAATTAATTGGCAAAGTTCGAAACTCCACTGCTCCCTGTGCTTTTAAACATGATACAAGGGGCTGGAAAGACAGGCCAGGCACCTGGTTGGTTGTTTCACAGACATTCTCTTTCTGGAATGATCTCTTAGCCCCTACCAGCTCCTTCAAAGTCGTCAACCTCCCCTATTTTTCCATCTGTGAAACTGGACTCTCCAGATAGAAAGTGGCTTCCCACAACAGTAGCAACCAGTCAACTTTTCTTAAGCTCTTCCTATAAGACAGACATGTCTCCTTTATCTCCCACAGGAACCCCTTGGGGTTGGGAACTCTTTACTGGCCTCCCAACTTTATACACGAAGAAACAAGGTTCAGAGTGGTTAAGTGATCGCCTCACAGACACCCAGCAAGTAAAGAGTGAAGTCAGAATTTTTTTAAAGACAGCTCTGGTTAACCTAGAACTTGCTTGTATTCTCCAGCACCTTTGTGCTTTGGCGGCCCGTGTACTCAACTATAAATGACAGCGATGTTGACGGCACCACCTCCGTGAGGGTCACAGGAAGCAGGGAACATAGCACTTCCAAAGTGTGCGCTGACCCCCAGCGGTCTGGTTTCATGCTCCTTCGCTCTGTCTTCCCCTGGCATGCAGAGCCTGCCTCTGTCCTCCAGCCTGCAGCAGTCAAGCCTTTTGCAATTAAACAGCACATATTGTGTCCAAGACCCCAGTCCCTGGTCCCACGTGCCTCTGCCTGCATGTCCCTCTGGGTTCTGCCAGGTACTTCTAGGACTACTCCAGGCCAGCTCTGGAGTTCCAGGCCCTAGCCAAGTCTGAAGACAGACTGGTTCTGTGGACAAATACTGGGCCAGGGGGCTTCACTCGCCTTGAGTGACTCTCTTCTCTCCGTGCCTTGACTTGACTCTCTGCTGGACACAACCATGTGCCCAGCTCTGCCTCATATCCCAGTCCCATCCAAACTGTTTCTTCACCCTCTTGACCCTTCTTGCTTGGAATGCTGGTGTACTCCCGAGCTTCCCATCCCCTCCCTGCATCCCGAGCAGCCAAGCTCCAGCAGGCCTTCCC